TATATATATATATGCTCTTTGTTCTTCTAGCAATAACTAATCAACACATTAATTTGTTTATAAAGATTTCAGTTATAAGTTAGGGTTAGGTTAAGTTATCTTGATTGTTCCCAACCTGCATGGTGCACAATATACATTTAAAAAAAGGTCAGGACGATAGGAATCCCCTTGTATTGGTGCACTAAATGCAATCAATGCATAAATCTTGCCATTAGAGATTAGAAAAAATGTAAGGATCTTTTAGCTGATATTGGAATTTTGTGACCTTTTTATTTACATTTTCTGGATTCTTGTGCTAGCATGCACATGCATTTCTATGTATGCAAGGAAATGTGCCCAAGACTCTGTGTGGTTGTAGCACATTGATTCAGCTTTCATAGACATTTTCACTTTATTGTTTTTTTGGTCCTTGTTTTGTGGTAAGTAGAGATAGAACACTACTCTGTGTAATTTGCCTACCTAAAAGTCTGGAAATCTAGACCCCAAAATTCTGAGTTTCAAAGGGGTCTAAATATGTAGCTTTAGATAGAATGTCAATATAATGTTGTTTTATTTTTTGCTAGGATATATAGATAACCAGTTCAAGCAGATCACTTAGAATAAAAAAATGATGATGATTTTTTTAAATACATAACAGCAGTAATAATATAAAGTCTATTACTTCTCCTTCCTCGTTACAGAAATAACCGTAGCCAGCTTTTGTAAAGTTATCGGCCCACTGGACTACTCCAAGATCAAACATCTGCGCTTGGATGGAAACAACATCACCCGATCTGAAATCCCCAATGAATTTCACAACTGTCTCCGCTTAGCTTCAGAGATTGATGTGTAAAATGAAAGATTTGCTTAAACAGTGGTTCTCAAGCTGATTATTCATTCTTTCTTTCATTCACTCGTCATTCACTCATTCAAATCCATTCAAATATACAACATATTAAAAATTGAATCCTCACATTTTTGTGCCAGATTAAATGCATGTGGTCCAATTGTAAAGATTTAAGGCAAAGATTAAAGATCATTAAAAAAAAAGAATATTTAACTAACCTATAGCACATGATGAAAATATAAAAAAATATTAAAAACCCCTTGATGGGGAAGTAAACTCTTTCTAAAAATGTAAAAACAAAAATCATGATAAATATTATCTTGTAAGGAACAGTAACATATTTGGTTTGATTTTTAAAAGTGCTGGCATTTTTCTCTAACTTTACAAACTGGTCCAGTGAAAATATTTTACAGCTTCTGAGCTCCATGTTATAACCATGCTACACATCTATGCTACATTTTGCAAAACATTTAAAATGCAATGGATAGATATATAAATATTAATCTTACAGAATAGTGTGTAGAACTAATGTTAACTGGATTATTTCTCAGAGATGTCAGCTGGTGTAAAGAACTGATTGAGACCTCCACTGGGCTGTCGTTGGGTAAAACATCAATATGCTGAAACAAATGCTAAATTGTAGATTAGTACATAAGATATATACTACTACTACTACTACTACTACTACAACATGAAGCATAGTTCCTAAATGTATGTATGGGTTGTAACCAAACAAATTGTGTATTTTTTATTTTAGTAAAAATGTAGTGTGTATGAATTAAGCCTTTGGACTCCTCTCTTCTGTTAAATACAATCATTTGATGTCAAAATCACAAGTGTTCTCAGGTATTGGAGTCCAGTAACAAGGTAAGAGGAAAGTAAAATATTTCACAGAATTGTAGCATTCTTTAATAGAGGCTCAAAGGCACAATTTCTGTAAAGCTGAACTCCAGGTAAAAGCTAAATAGACAGCTGGAATACATATATTTGGGAGCTGTCTTACTTGCCAAAATACTTTTCTGTCCCTTTTCTGTCCATTCAAACCTGAGATTTGCACAGCCCTACCAAACAGCACTGCCAGCCTAGTGACCTGTCCTTTATCTGTTGCAGTTAGACAACACACCTAGGTCACTGATTTTTTAAATATATATACTCAACTGCAATATGTGCCTAGTGTTCAGCTTCATAATTCTGTGTGGGCCTATTGTTAGTCATGTTAGATATGCTACTCCAGGAATAGTACATTGTTGCGTTAATCTTAACAATAAGCATTTACATTGTCAGTGAATTTCCTCTGTTGGTTCAAAGTGGAAAATCCATTTTGCATCTGTCTGATGACTAGCATAATGTTGCATCCATGTGACCCCACGCATTAAATTATATGATTCCACACCTTAAAGGCTTTGGTTGCTAAAAAGTGGCAATTTGTCAACTTCATTAGCTGGGTTATGGGCAATATAATCTCTGTAATCAAGACTGTTCCTGTGAAATGAGTTCTCTCATAAAGCACTTAAAGTGATCCTGCCATCTAAACTACACATTACCATCAGGTATTTTCCAGACAGAGGGCAATATACCTAACATTTACCCCATTTTGGATCTTCTCTTCACATCACAAGGAGTTTCAAATGTTTGGTCCTGCTATATACTAATTTTAATTTGCAGACCAAATCCAATGCTATGAGATATCTGTTTATCTTCTAATGCAACTCAACATGGCTGCCTATTAGAGATGCATGTATCATGATTAGCATTCAGGAAACTCATGGGCTTGGCATTCAAAGGAACACCTTTAAAACTGAGTAAGAGCATGTGCAGAGTCCTTGAGTTTTCTGTTTTAGGGCAAATACCTCAACTTCCATGTGACATTTTCACTTTGAAATGACTCCCATCATTTGTCCAATAAAAAGCCTAATCCCCTTTCAATCTTTATTTCATTTGATAGTAGAGACACTGGAGAATTAGTACAGTGATGAATAATCAGCATTCCTCAGCTTTTATCCCAGGGTCCATACTAGCAGGAGACAGTAGTATTCTAGACAGCAAGGGCTGAAAATATGTTCATGTAACTGAATAAATTGCTCATCTTGCCTTATAAAAGGAATATCCCTTCCTTCATTAGAAAGACATGGGCTTCACTTATCGTCAGAAATGGTTTCCAGGTAACAAGATGAAAAGCTATACATTTTATTGAAGCTTGATATGCAGTATCAAAAATAACCTGCTGTATGGACTGGTCTACATGATAAGCACATAAAAATAAATATAAACTTTTTGTATAATGTTCTGCATCAATCTTTGATTGCATCAAAGCCATTAATTTATCACGCATGGTAAGAATGGCCTTATCAGTTGCATTTGATATTTCATTATTTTCATATTATGTTGCTGGATTTGTGTTATGTTGTGGCAAAGATAAAAAAGATGAACAGATTTATTCCTGAAAGAAATCAGCTTGGGTACTGCTGATCAAAAAATAAATAAAAAAATTAGAAATGTGTTAAACATCTGCCTATCAGGGTACAGGGTATGCATACTAACCCTTAGTACTAACAAGTAGCATGACTTTAATAGTCACAATGTTTTTTTTTTGTGTTTTGTTTTTTTCATAGGTCATAACTACATGTAAAGATAACCCTAAATACAAACACACATTGTTCAAAATGGAGTAAGCACATTATGCTGTGCCTGTTAAATTGTTCTTTATATGACTTGTTTCGCTCTAGTAGCAATGAAGGGCTATTTAACATACATTTTAATGTGTTCTCTATCATAGATTAATTAACCCGTAAACATATAAGATCAAATGTTTCAAGGCCAACTCTGCAGAAAATTGGAATTTTAAATTTAACATGTTGGACTCCACCAAAAATTATAATGAAGGATTTCTTTATTGGTTTTTATAATGGCTGCATTGTTTTAGAGGAATTAGGAATTTTGGAGGAAACCTGGGTCTTAACTTGCCAGTAACTGCATGAACCAAAAATAATCTATTGGTGGGGTTGGCCTTAAAAAATGGTGAAAGAAAAGAAAAGTTATGGCTATACAAAACATGTATTTATCCTACACTAAATTTTTTTCTAGCCAATAATCCAATTGAAGGACAGCTTCTGGTAAGCCTGACTTGCCATGTCCCTTGCTTATCCTTAGGCTATCTAATAAACAGTACATATGCATAGAGGCTGTTGTAAGCTCTTTATTGCACACACTCTCCTCTTGCACTCTTTTCTCTCCTCTCGTAGTAATTCCTAGATAGCAGTTGTGAAAACTGTGTAAAAATTAACTTTGCCTTTCAAGTTCTGATATTCAAGGTCTATCATGAAGCCTGCCCAGATAGATACAATAACATTGTTATTTTTTTTCCCAACAGCACAGCCAATAGAAAAAAATATTTCCAGCCAATGTAAGATAGTTCTGAGAAGGGACAATAAAAAAGCTGGCAACAACCTCTGTCCACAAGTACTATTAAATGGGCTGGCACAAAGAATAGCAAGGGTAGCTTTAACATCTCTGGCTTTGATGTCAAATCAGACAATACATTCAACCTGTAGTATTGGTGCTTCCTGATCTTTGGTTATTGTAAATTATGTATATTTTGCATAATTACCAATTTTTCTGTGATATTGAAAATGTAAATTATAATAAAAAAAACTGTCAAACAAAAGATATGCTATAAAACATATAATTTGTAAAAACCTTAACACTTTAAATGTAATTTTATAATCCAACCTATGTAACAGTGACTGTTTTTTTTAACCTAATTGGTCTTACTTTTAATGTTTTCAGTCCTGTTTCTTAATGTGAATATTAAACATAATTTTTAATTAAGCATAAAAAGATTTTACATTTTGTTTTGAATGTGTATTTGGTTATAATAGCTATCTAAATAATGTTTAACACCGAAATGAAAGAAAAAGTATCATCTTTCATTTAAAATAATCTTTCAAATTGATTTTGTGAAAAGTTAAAACATCCTCAGAGATACATTATTATAGAGTGACATTGCAATGAAAATATTTGCAGGAAATTATGCTTAACCTTATAGACACCACTGGATGTTCCATTTTTAAACCAGATGGCTCCATCTTCCACTTGAAACTGGCCATGATCATTAGTGATACTTCAGCACTTTTTAAATATTTTTGCTAGGGTGTTTTTTTTCAGGGTCAGCAGAAAAACCTTGTTCCTGCCCTTGATGGCGGTACATCCCCTCATACTTGTGTAATGCAGTTTATAGACATGTGCACCAGCAAAAAATTTGTTTAGTTTGGTTTTGTTTTGATTTTGCTTTATTTCGTTTTTCGAAACTCGGGTCTGAAAGTCCTTTAGGAATTCGGATTCGGACCAAATTCGTTAGCGGTAATACGTTTCGTTTCGTTCGTTCGATGCCGCAAAATTCCATTTAAGAGGAAAAAAAAGTTTTTTGTTCTCAAGTGTCACTTTGCTGCAACAAAATTTCGTCCAAAAAAAAAAACGAATCGGAAATTCGGATTCGTTTGCATTTGTTATATCAGTAATTCGGAATTCGGATACATACGATTCTCCGAATTTCCAAAATTTCGTCCGAATTTCGATTCGGAACGAAACGAATCGCACATGTCTAGCAGTTTATATCGCTGTTAATACAGTTAGGCAGTCCTCTGTACTTATACTTTAAGATGGGCAGCTGGATAGGCAGAGGTTCTGCACATGCAACTAGCAGGGCGTGAGCAGGTTCTGCATCTGTACATTTAAAGAAAATGCCTAAACAATATGATTTTGTCTTTAAAGTGAGGACCCTATGGGCTTTTGGGTGTTGAGGCTGCATCAATGGCTGAAGATTGCATTTCATTGCATGATGAAAACCTACCTGGTATCTCCCTCTGAATTTGCAACCTAGTAAAAATGTTTATCGAGTCTGTAAATTATTTCTGGCCTTTTCTTGTGTAATAAAACACTCTCTAATTTTAATTTCTTGATTAAAATTTGCCTCAAAACCTGGTCTCTCTTAAACTATGACCTAGAAAACATGCTGACATATGGTACAGTAAGTCTGTACAATATTTCCCACCTTTTTAAGTGAAATAATGCATTTCATTTTGATTTCTTGATTAAAACCTGGCGACTCCCTCTGAAACTATGGGCTACTAAAACCATTTACATAGTGTGCATTGCGTCTGCACAACATTTCTGATTTTTTTTCCCATCAAATAATACACTCCAATTTTGATATCTTGACTTAAACCTTCCTGG